AAATTTAACAATAACCTAAGCAGTTCCAATATTATTTCATTCCAGCTGAGAGCTTATTTGAACCGAAATCTCGCTTCATCACGTCATTTCTCTTCTTTCCGCGTATGCTTTTCCTCCTCTACATTCCCTTTCTACCGGTCAAAATGTAACAAATAAATTTCTCTAGGACAAGTGGAGGCTCGGAATTGACAAGACTATTGACGGCTTCCTCTTCCGGCAGTTGCTTAGAAGCAAGCTGATGGCAGTTGTGACCCCCTGTCAAGCCCAGCACCAATTTACCATCGAAAGGAGCACATTACAATGCACTGTTACATTTGATTCAACGACCACAAGTGCGGGAGATAAGAGGAAAATGAATGAAATATAATAATGCTTGAATTGGGCTGATGAAATTTTCGGTGCAATGAAGAAATGAGTTTTTGAAAATGCGCATTTTGATGGGATCATATCCGTTTGGTCATTGCACGACGAAATTTCGTTGGTGTGAAATGTCAACAATGCGCTGCTCCTCTTCCTACCTCAATCGGCTTTCGTTTTATTTACCCAAACGCGGCAACTTTTTTTGTACTCAAATTAACGCCAATAAAAATGGATGCCCCCCTTTTTATCTGGAGACTTTTTCAAGACGAAATAATTATCCTCATTTGATTGAGAACGATTTCCTCCGCTCCTGGGATCGATCCCAAGCATTTTATTTTTATTTCACTCCTGTTACATGCTTGCTTTGTTACTGATGCTGCTGTTGTCACTCATTATATGTATCTGTGCCTCCTCCCTCCGCTGGAGTCATTTTTGGTGGCTCCTTTGATGATGATCGCTATCGAAAAGACATTCAAAATGAATCCACCTGAGAAACACTCCGCCTCCCTTTTTTACGAACATTTTCACGATAATTCCGATTCAAAAAAAAAAAAAATCTTTTTCCTAAAAAAACTGCTCTTTTTTTTATTTATCGTGAAAAACTGCAGCAGTGAGAGAGAGGCGATTCACAGCGCTTTGACCAACACAAGTTTTGCAAAACCCATTACTGTTCCGTGATTGATGTCTCCAGGATGAAACCATTCAACGGGGTTGCAATGACAGAAACGGCTCTCATGCAATTTGTTACTAAATAGTGCTCCAGGTGATTGATTCCGTTCTGGATCCACGTATCGGCGTTGACTGGAAAATCGACCGATTGTCTTTTACTGTTATAAGGGGAGCTGAAATCGTACTTGCGGAAAAATAAAATTACTTGAAGGAATATAGGTTGGCAAAAGAGATGCCAGATTTTTGCAAAAAATCGTGAAATTATTAAGAAGCGTAAAATTTTGATAAAATATCAAAATTTGTTTGAAAATGTGAAATTACAACACAAAAGCGAAAAAAGGATATCGAAATAGCTAACCTAGAACACTCGAAGTGGCTGTTAACTCACGATCTGAGTTTTCACCTACTTAGCTGGCCACGTCCTCTGCGCACTACTCAGCATGCTGCTGGCCTTCCGGTGCTCTTTTAGCAGATTTAACGATTTAAAAACAGCACGACCGTCTCTAGTGATTTATGTAATTTTATGCACTATTTACTCGATAAGTAATGCAATTGACTTTCGGTGAATCCAAGTTTCCTGCACTTTACTGATTGCCAACCGACAGGCATGACGCAGTAGGGTAGCACTGTTGTCATGCAGTAAGTCGAAGGTTCGACTGTGCTGATAGAACAGCCAGTCTCTCTGCGATTCGCTTCGATGGCAAATTGATACTGGCACATGCGAGGGAGTCAAAACCGCCACCAGCTTGTTTATAAACAACCCTCGAAAGTGGGAGCCATTAGCAACTTTGCCAACAGATGGTTGCTGAGTGTGGGAGAGGGGAAGGGTATGACTTTTTGACTTTTGTCAGATTGCTACTGAATAGCGAGTGTTAGGGCCACAAAGACTGCTTGCACAGTTAGCATAATTTTGGTGACTGTGTGATGGTTTGCTGTTTGTTGTGTGTTTGGATCGACAGCGCCAGTACATGGAATGCTCTAATCGGTTGGAGCATCGCATAGAAGCATTCTGAGTGCATGACGCAAAAAGTTCAAGCCGTCATCGTCATGCCGTAATCGTTGCAATCATCGCACATCTCCAGGGAAAAAAGAAATGGTTGAAAGCAGTAAGCGGGGGAGGATGTACGACGAGCCAGGGGAATTTATTATAACATAACTGTATTATTTTATTTTATTTTTATCAGGAAATAGTGATAGACGCAAAAATTAACATATTTTGATAGCAGGCAGGTGAAAGGGACGAGGGGACGAATAAAGGGACACAGAAGGAGGCGAAGCACCTTGCTTACTTACGAAAAAGTACGCAATGCTTGTAGGCATTACGCAGTGTTTCTCAAAATTTTTATGCAGAAGATGTGGACCGGGTCAGCGGCAAGGCATCAAAGCCTTAGCAGAAAACTTTTACGAGGTAGAATGACACATGAAATAATAGACCAACAGGATTGTACGCAGGCGTCACGTGTAAGGTGATATTTTATGGTGCAAACTGTCTTTATCCGTTAGATATAGTGGGGTGATATTTTTCGATGCAGTCTATGTTTCATCCTTTAGCTGTAAATACAGACCGGACTATGCAAGTTACATCCTTTGTGTGAGGAAATGATCGGACGCTATTAAACAAACTTGGTGGCAGAACTAAGATTTTCATAGATCGAACATAATCACATCAGATCCATAACAAGATTGACAACGGTGACCGAAATAAGTGGACAGGAGGGAGTTCAGGACATAAACTTCAAAGTGTCGGATTTTCAAATTCTGTGAACAACCCATCCAGATTTAGTGCACACTGGTTAACAGATGTAAACCAGAGTATGGACGGCCTATAGTGCTTGCATTCTTTCAAAAGTTTAT